AAGACAAGTTGTGAAAACAGAACTAAGCTTGAATGAATTTCACTAAAGAATGCTGCGAATGTTTCTTTCTCGACGTGACCTCTCTCATAGTGGACATGGAGAGGCGTGTCAAAAAAAACTAAAATCTTAAAAGCGATGTCCCCTGAGTGCCATAAACATTTTTGAGTGAATGAATCTTTACAAATATTGAGCACACCCTTTAAATTGTACTGATTTCATCCTGGAGCTACATATGGTGTTGTTTCCCTTTTTTTTTGTTTTTTATTAATGTCACAAGCATGAAATCTACCTTTTAATGTGTCCAAAGTCCATCACGGTCTAGTTTGCGTTGTCATAGACAAAATCGAGTAAAACTACTACCTTTGAGCCATGTGGTGCTAAAAAAGCGTTACGTTTAGTCTTCTATTGGCGACTTGTACTCACTGACATACTACTGCTTCGAGTGCATGGTTCACTTCTCGTGTTTAAACCCGCCTGTGGCCACGAAACCTCTCTGAGAAGTCGATAGCTCCACCAGGCCATGTTCTCAGGAGATGTCACGTGTAGCTGGTGATGTCATTTGACTAGAAACCAATTCTGACCATTTGTCTTGATTTTAATGAACGTTTCGGGGCGGGGGAGGGTGGGGGGCGGGGGAGGGTGTGTTAAAGACGCCCCATCACCTGCATCGTCTCGTCCACAGCAACTGTCGCATGTCTCTGAATGTGCTCTGGGTTGAAAGTGAACCTGAATGAGATGAACTCCTGCAGTTTCTTTTTAAAGAAAGGGGGGGCGGCGGGGGTGGGTTGTTTTCTATGATTAAAAATGAAATTCTTGAATGTTTTCAGAAGATGCTGCCTGTCTAGCAATCTCTATGACCGTGGACTGTTCTTAACGATTGCAAACACTAAAAAAAAAAGAAAGAAAAGAAAAAGATGAACCAACTGTTAGTTTTCAGTCTTTTTGTAGACGAGTGTATGCAAAGTGAAAAGTGTCCTCAGCTGGTGCTTTGTACAGTAATAAGATATTGTTCATATTCTGTATG